TCTTCAAAATAAGGGTACGTCTTATATTCCGAAAAATACGGTATGTTTAGTTGAAAAGCGGTATTTGTGTTTTTAGTTATAGATTCTCAGCAAAACATTTCCTGAATAGTGACATTCAAATCACGAAACCGGTAAAAGAAATTAATAAAAGAAGCTAAAAAAAAAAAAAGTCTGCTATTCCAGTGTTTTCTTATATCTCTATAAATATAATAGTACTGTATGTTGTATGTCCGTGTCACTACTCCGCATGGTGTGGATGGATCTTCACCACAATTGGTATTAAGGCTCATTAGGTCCATACAAATTTTCAGTTTTGCATTTTTTACCACTTAGCCCCTATAAATGGATCTTCACGAAATCTGGCATGAAGGTTTGTTGGGTCCATGCGGAAATACATTCAAATTTGCGGTTTACATTTTGTGTTTTTATGGGCGTTTTTTACAATTGTATGTAAGGGGAGCAACTTTTTAAGTCTTAAGATATCATCTTTCGTTAATCATGAATTTACATAACTTCCGTCCAGGGGACGGGTACTCCACCTAGTATTATATATACAATTCAGTTACCCTCTGTAGTCTATCAACAAATTGAATAACATATCCATAGCACCGAGACTATTACTACGTCTGTCTTATCCCAAACGGCCTATTGAACCCTCATTGGCATTTTATACGGTAAATGTACTGTGTGATAGCATTTTCTTTTACTCTTAAGTTCTTAGAATTACCAGTAATATTACTAGGCATTCAGAGAAGAGCTGGAATTAAATGAACAAACATTGAAGATGTTATTAGTAAAATGCAGGATTAGTTTATTTTACAAATTATTGTAAAACTTAATGATATAAATTTCCAATGAACTACAGAGTTTAAAATTATCTGGGTATACAGAGATGCAAGAAGCTTGGTAGAGACTGCGATAAATAGTTGACCACTCGCTGAATCAAATAGCAACTTAGAAAAATAGATCAGGATCTCTGTCACCTAGTACTCATGAACTTTAAGCAGGATATTCCAGGCACCACAAGAAGATGACCTACAGTAACATGTGCATGACCATCCCTAGTTAGACTACCTTGCTTTCTGAAACTGTCTACCACACAAGTCCAACAAAAATTTTAACTGTTGCACCCATTTCTAGATACAAGATGATAAAATAATCTACACGTTTCAGACAAAAAAAAACACTTTATCATAGTATAGTATTCTAGAAAAGATACCTAGTCTATTAACATAGCACATTTCTAGCAAATCAAATTAATAATACATGGCAAGCTAACCATTCTACTGAGTAACCAAAAGTGCTAAGCTTAGCAACTGATCAAAGCACTGTCCTCCTTCCTCCAATTGTGAAGTTCCATTGCAGCACATTTGTCAATGTACAGTCCACATAGCATTGCACCATTCCTAATTTCAAACCACCAGCCATGTGGAAGCAACCACTTTTACTTTGTAACTTATTATTACTATTATGTATCACTTTTTTTTTTTAATTAGAATTACTTTTAGTTTCATCATCAGGTACCATACTTAAGATGATTTTAACATAACTTCTACAAACTATCTTATATTTATGGAGTATGGAATGGCTCTCCTCCCTTTAATAATCTCAAGGGTCTAGTTATAAAACCTAATTAGATTGAATCTAAGTAGCATCTGTGACTAAAGTGCTACTTTTGAGCAACTTCTTCTAACAACTGTGGAGATGGAACCTATAAATAGATGAAAATGTGCTGAAAATATCAAATCTCCTCACCTCATCATTAAAGGAATGCCTAAACAGTCTAGAAGATGTAGCAGACACTATGTAAGAAATTTATATCCTAATCTAAAAAGTGTTTCAAGTATAAAAACACAGACATTTTTCTTGATACTTCAACTAACCGTAGTACACTGAGACTTAACCACACCAAGACAAACAAGTTATTTGTTGTGGTTAGTAACAACAGTACATTATGTTCATGATTTATTCCAAGGATATTGGGTCCAAAGGTGTCTAAAAAAGATCTTGGGTTATTTCTACTGACATACCAGGGATAAAAATTTAAAAGTTTTCCTGCTACAAATAAACTGTACAGTTTAGTCTATACTAATGTTACGTAAGAAATATGCTGTGTATAAGAGTTAAGTAACAAAGACTTACACCAGTAGTAGCATACATATAGATGGGGTGGCCCACGTGACCCAACTTGTAAAGATCTTCATAGGAAAAATACAAAATACTTTTTTATACCCAAGTGCTCATCTGATGGTATTCACTTACAATTCATATAACTATACTTGTAAGATACATAAAATTAACACTTTTGGGAGAAACAGTTGCTCATCTGTGAAGTCTCCCATAACTCCACACACACTTTTGCTGGAACGTTACACAAAACAATTGAAAAAAAAAGTGGTTTTATTTTATTTATGGCATAATTTAGTTTGTTTTTTACTTGTGGAACATTAGTATATTTGGGCTATGGGAAGGGCTCTGAAATATTCTTTCCCCAAGACCTTCATATACCACTTTCAGAAACGTAAAATCAAGTCTTCAAATGAAGAGCATTTGATCTCTGACTCATAAGATGTGCCATTATTTATTAAGGGCTTTTAAAGAACCAATGCGACATTCCTCATGAACTGTTGTATACAAGAAAGGAATAAAGACCAATAAAAAACTAACACTAGAGATTTAGAACAAGTGTTAAGTACCATAAATCTTAAAGTAGGAAGCATGTATTTAATACAAAGAAGCTTTGAGACATTATGTAGTAACAGATCAGAGGACCAGTCCATATTCAGCACACACTGTTGAGGAAGAGAAAATTTATATATATATATATATATATGCATTTCATTCTGGCAAATGAATCACAAGGTCATTTTGACACACCACTTTGAAACACTTAGTTTCTATTAAATATTGAAAAACGTGTTTCTATAATAAAAATTCAAATTGAAGAAAATAAATTATGAGGAACTAAATATCTAAGTATTTTTCTCAGATTTTTTAATATATATAGAACAATATTATAACTCAAAAGGACACCATTTCAAGAATACAACAAATTCACAGTTTTAATCCATTCTAAACAGTAATTCAGTATTTCTATTGTTGTACAGTTTTGTCTTAATATTCATTCATCAAATATGTTCTATAAATAAATACACAAATTTAGTTCATTAGTTTTTCATTATTATCTTTCTTTATATTTAAATGTAATAACATTAATTTAAAGACAAATGCCAAGCAGTTGTAGCACAATTTCTAATAATCCTTCTAACACTTTAATTCTGCCTTATAATAATTTTTACACACCATGTTTTCTAAATAATTAAATCCTTCAATATTAACAGAGGTTTTATTTTGAATTGTTGAAGTGTAATATGTAATAAGGTAAACGGAAAAGGCACAATCTTAATAAATAAGATTACACATACAGTACTTGAAAAATATAATCTCACATTACACAACTCAATGTGCTGCTAAACTAGTTTTTGAATCAGCATTTCAGAAAAACAAAGTTTATTTCAAATTATTAATACCTTTCAGACACACTTATACAGAAAAATAAAAAACATGTTATAAGAATCTGTAATTAATGAAGTCTAGCATCACATAAGTGTCGATGTATTTGATTCTAAAATGAGAATGCAATCAAGCATAAGATAACTTAATTTTCATTTTGTAGTGCCATTTATTATATTTGGGCATTATAAGGAATGAATACTGTTTTCTTTATAACTTATTGTAGGAATGTTTTAAGTCTTCAAAATCTTTTTTGTATTTGAACTAACACATATCAGTGAATTATTATGTAATTATCAAGAATACTGGAAGATCTTGATATTCTTTTCACAAGCCAAAATGGTCCAACAATGAACACGAAGGTATCAAAAGTATATTCCGTCACCAAAAAAAAAAAGCAAAATGAATATATATGTTTTTTCTCCTTATCATAAAGGATTTTCTTTTCCCTAGATTTCCTATTCAAGTGTATTTTGTGCAAAGGAAACAGAAAAAAATACAATGAATTGACTTTGTTTTGACTTTGATTTTTTGCAAGCCAAAATGGTCCATTTAAGGTTTCAAATTATGTCATTTCTCGTTTGAGAAGACTTACAAAGAGAAACAATGAACATGAGGGTATTAAAAGTATATTCCGTCACCAAAAAAAATGCAAAATTAATATACATGTTTTTTCTCCTTATCGTAAAGGATTTTCTTTTCCCTAGGTTTCCTGTTCAAGTGTATTTTATGCAAAGAAAAAACAATGAAAAAATACAATGAATTGACTTTGTTTTGAACAGATGAGCATATGTAAATGTAGATCAAGTGTGAATACATTTGAGAAATGCAGTTATTTGGAAAGAAAAACAATAATACCAAACAAACTAAGGGCAGAAAAATGAAACTTGATTAGTTACAATGACTTTAACACCAAGTGCATCAACTAGAAACTGATAGCATACATAAATCTGATGAATATGCTACATAACTTATATGATATTAATATAACAAGGAAATGCAAAATACTTCTTTAAAATAACAGATGTATTTGAATGATAATGATGAAGCAAAAAGTTTAGTAGATGAAACAAGCAACTCCTGTAAAAAAAATGTCACAGACCCTGTGAATATCATACTCCAAAAGTACAAATTACACAAGTTTAATCAGTTAAAAAAATTAATTTCCTAATAAACTTAGTAAATCATATGACAATCTTTAGTTTACAACAGATTACAATGGATTATAGAGTAAAACTTCTTTATTTGAGAGCATCACTACACAATAATATTGTTTCTAGCCAAATGCACTAGAGAAAAATAAGAGATTTAGTTCAAACGTGTCATAAAATGCAAAGGTTTTGTAAAAAACAACCTCTGAACAGGAAATCTGAGGGTAAAGAACCCAAAACATTTAAGGATCAAATGAAATTGTGCTGACAACCCACAGTAAATGTCAGACATACACAACTTTAAGTACAGTAGCATCATTTCTCTTTCTTAACTTCGTCTTTGCTTTCATCATTCACAGCATCAGTCTTTGATTCTTCAGGGTGATCTTCATATCTAGCAAAGTAAAGTGTTATTGCTGAGTAATACATCAAAGCATATTTATAATGATCATGAGTTTCCAGTGATAGACTCTTACAAAGTAACATAACTCGTTTTTGAGGGTTGAACAAAGGATTTTCAGCTTACATTATTTATCTCTGTAAACACAGTACTATTGATAAGTGGATTTTGAATTAGAAAACATATAGCTACATATCAGTAGATCAAATGAACACAGTTCCTAAGCACACAAAATCCCTTTGTTAGTAACCTCATATATTTATAATACAAAACTTAATAAATAATTAAATAAAACCTTGTTGTCAGTTTGTTTACTACCTCAACAAATGCACATGATCAAGATAAATCAGTTATATATTTTTGTTTGTTATCAAGTGTTTGTCATTATAAAGCAAACACAGTCTTATTTATGGCAAATTAAACCTCAGAGATAGTTCATTACAAAATTTACTTTTTTTTCATTTGCAACAGTTTTAGCCTTCATACAAATAAAATATTTTGAGTGTTTATCTTAGAAGGCTGGTAAACAATTTTAAAACTAAGAATTATTTTTCTATGATTCAACTTTAATCAGTCTTGGTTTATTCAACACCAGAATTACCAATGGCTCCCTTTGTAATTTTAAACACATTTTTTCTAAATTATTTACGCAGCAAGTTGCCTATAGGTCCACAAATTTTGTTGGATACAGGGTCCAGAATAACATACGAATCACACACACAAACTGTAATTAATCTTACTAATTACTGCTGGGGTACCCTACAAATTGTTTGGTCTGTTCTTTAAGCTGAATGTTGTAACAAGCAGAAACAAAATACATAGAGAAAGGTATACAAAATCAGTGATTTGCCTTAAAATTACAAAATGGAGATTGGAGGTGTGATTGTAGAACCAGATTGGGTATCAATAAAACAAAATGAAACAAATGTAATCCACACTGGATAAATAAAAAATACTGCAACAAAATATGGGAAATAGAAACAACAGAAAACATTGGTTTTATTTTCTCTGTATTGTATTTATCATAGTCAGAGTTTGAAATATTCATTTTGATTAGTTATATCTAATTGCTAATAAAACTAATAAGTCTTAGCACTGTAAATGGGACTGCAAATCCTCTATTTTTAATATTAACGACCTTAGATTATTTAACGTTTTTTTTTAGTTAACAATTCTTTTTTTTGCTTTGTAGTTACATTTAGTAGTTTTTTAATTGTAAAAAGTGAATTTAAGCATTATTTTTGTCTAAATGTAACAAGTGCTTTACTCGTATCTTTATATTGGCCATTTACAAGGAATAAGGTGTAATAACTTTCTTGCATAATTATAGTAGACAATTTTCATTTTCACAAAATTTAACAGAAAATACATCCTGCATTACATTCAACAAACACATTTTTAAATAATTTTCTTTCCAAACTTTCATTAGAATATTACAGTTTATAACAACTTCGACTAATTTGGTGATCAAAAGCAATAACGTTACATTTTAGACTTAAAACTTACACACTACTGTCAAGATTAATTTCTTATAGTACCATAACAGAATAATTTTCTTTAAACATCACGTTCTAATAACAACAGTTTATGACAATGTTAAATTAAGCTTCAGAAGTATTTTGCTGGAATTATCTATAAACATTACTTACTGGAACATGGTTTTAATATCTCCTCTTAGAAGAGCTACAAAGAAAGGTACTCCAATACATGCTGGTACTAGATATAGGAGAGCAGGCTGAAAATGCAAACACAAAATTTTTATAAATATACATGAAGACTAGCTTTAGTCAATGCAAGTCTTTCTTTAAAATTCAATTTAATAGCTTTAGTAATCTCTTGAACAATCAAAAATCAACAAATTTGATAATTTCTCTAACTCACTTCAAAATTATCTTTTAGAGGTCTCATTTCTATTATTTAGTTGTCTGATCCTCTTTCTCTCTCTTTTTTTTGAGTGAATTATTTTCACACAATAACTGGCTTGATCTTTGTTTAACAAAGACAGCTAACATTGTACGAACTATTTAATACCAGATAAAATTATTCTAACTCCACCATTTAGCTGCATAAGCTTCCCAGAGAGATTTATTAAACTATACTAAAGTAGCCCATTTAGCATTTAAAATCCTCAGTACACAAATACAATTTTCAAGTACATTAAAATATGAAAGTTCAAATTAGAAAATAGAAGGTAAAACCTGGAAAAGTTGAACTACACAATGGAAACACACAAAACATTGCTGTTTAATAATTTACATGAAAAATATAATTACTACTATATTAATGTTTGCAAAAACAACTGAATAGTAATGTATTTTTAATTAAAACCACATGCAATCAAACAACCAGAAATCCCAACTATAGTAAAAGAGTGATTGCAGATCTATTTCGAATTTGTGGCCTTCGTCTATTGAATAAGTCTTTTATGTGCAGACATCTCTCGTCCTTACTCTATGAAATAATTTCAAATGCTATACAACATATCACCATGTCATATTTATGCTTAGCATGATAATTTATTTTAAGCTAGGAGATTTGCATGCTTACTGATATGTAATAATGAGAGAAGCCTGTGCATAAAAAAAAAACTCTTAACAGATTAAGGCCACAACTTAATTAAACTAGCACTGGGATCAATATTTTACTTAAATTAAAACTGTCCTGTTACAAAAAAATATTTGAGTAAAAGACTTAAAAAAAAAAAAGAATGATTTTTTTCTTTCTATCATATGACAGTCTATGTATATGGAATTTGTAGAATTTTTATTCTGTAAATCAAACTATGCCCCCCCATGAATGGTTTCTAGGATACAAACATCTGACACCCACGTGTTAGCTGGTATTACAATTACATTGCACTTCCAAAATTAAGTGAACAACAGATGATTAGTGAAATTCATCAAGCAGCAATTTAAATTATAATAATTATTTAAAAAATTAAAACATACCTGTGCGTGCTTGAAATACGTCATTACAAGAACTGTTGTTACTAGTCCAACAAAATAAGCTAAGAAACTCGAATAGAAGTACACATTTCGTTCCCTCTTCAGACTGTAAAAAAATATAACCTATCTAGTCACACAACTTCCTGCAAAACAACATCGGGACGAACTGATAATTATTTATTCATCTTTATCCATGATTAAAAATCAAAATTTAAAGGTTGTCATGCGACCTTCATCATATAGATGTGTTAAAACAATTCTGGAATATTGGGAGTTTTATTTTTACATATATAGTTTAACTACCATAAAAATAAAAACATTTTAAAAGTAACTTCCATACAAATTCTAAAGAATCCAACTTTTGCCTTTGTGTCAACAGAGAGTAAAACTCAAAATGATTAGCCCTGATTCTGAATGTAAGTCCAACCTTCTTCAACTGTTACAGTAACAAAAAGAGAATTACAGAAAGTTTTAGTTCTAAAATAATGTTCATTGTAAAATAGATCACAATTTTAATGATCTATGCAACTGGTCACCTACTAATGCATCAGTTCAACTTTTGTGCAAATACACCTCCCTCCCCTATCTCAAACAGGCTGTATTGTATACTGATAACATTTCACTCATTTGGCCAAGTAAGAGTACTATTCCATTTTTCAAAATGACTAACTTTCATAGGAAACATCTTTGGTTCTTGGAGATTTTGAGAGAAATGATTAGCAGCCAATTTCTATAAAAAAAATTAAATACATAAGTAATGAAGAAAA